ATCCCCCCCCCTCTCTCTCGTCTCTCTCTCACTCACGGGCCGATCTGGGCTAAGACGTTAACAAACCACCTACGAGTCGACGCACGCACGTGAGCGCACACGCATACATACGCACGTGCGCGCACACATAAATATATAAACACGAAGAATACAACATTCTGGGCGGGCTGATCAATAGTCGTAAATCTCTTCTGGGAGAGAGAGAGAGGGGGGGAAACAAGACGCCGGGTGGGGGGCACAGTGATGGTGAAACTGGAGAGAGAGAGAGAGAGAGAGAGAGAGAGAGAGAGAAGGAGAAAGGTGGGATAGAGCACGCACGAGAGAAAGATAAGAGCGGGAGAGCAGACCTCTAACAAACACGGAAATACCAACAGCGCCGCTCTGGACTGATTGATCGGCCACATCGATACAGTTGACATCGATTAGGAGAGGGGCTGCTCCGACACGCCTGTAAAGAGAAATCTGGCAGGTGGTAGGGGAGGGAGGAGGCTGTGGTAGGGGAGGGAGGAGGCTGTGGTAGGGGAGGGAGGAGGAGGGAGGGAGGCTCCATACGGAAAGTCAGAGACGCCAAGGATTTTAGATTTCTCCATGGCGGAATCGAACTCACGTCGCATGCTTCCTACAGGGAACAGTCTGACGATTCCACTACCACACAGACGATGATGGTGGTGGTGGCGGTGGCGGTTGGTTGTGATGATGATGATGATGATGAGGGTGATGACGATGATGACGATCCTTCTGTGGAAGTCTACGTGGCGAAACCTCGAGCCGATTCAATACAGCAAATTTTGAACATTTTATAATTTATATTTACTTTTTTTGTTTGTAAATCAAGCAAGACTCTCCCTCCTACTCTGCTTTTTAAACAGTGACGACGACGACGACGATGAGAACAAAAAGAAGATGATGAATAAAAAGAAGGTGAAGAACGTCTTTAGCGCGCACGGGGCAAAAAGCCTCCCAACTACACCACAGGCGTAAGAGAAGGGCGAGAGCTACAAGTCTTGACAATGACACTGCAGAGGGAACACGTCAAAGATCACAAAACACAGACCGCTGACTTCATCCATAGACTTGTATCATAACATCCTTGACCGCGCACTATGACGTATTTCCGGTTCACTACCATGTAAGCTTTGAATATTCGGCACATGTATGACTTATATATTTGTTTAAAATGCTGTAAATCTTTTCCTAAAATCTCTCTCTCTCCCTCCCTCTCTCTCTCTCTCTCTCTCTCTCTCTCACACACACACACACACGACATATACACATTACAGAAGAAAAAAACCCCCAAAGAACTCTAACGGACATCCAACTCAAACTGGCACTAGTGGCACCGTCCCGGGATCTGAACTCGCCCCCCTCGTCCTCCCGTCTACGGACCGTCACATCACCACCACCACAGGCACACCTGGAACACAGCACCAACTGACCACACGGTCACACGACCACAGGGCACTGACTGACCAGTCGACCAGTCAGGCACCACCAGCAAGATACTACCAAGACTAAGCCAGGACTAAGTCACACGCACAGCACGGTATAGGATGGACCTATTACTGGAGGGGG